TTGCCTGTCTATGCGACTCCAGGTGGTGTTGATGGTATTTATTTGGGTTGTTTGGTCGACTCGCAATAAGGTGGTTCATGAAGGATTAGTGTCATCGATCAATCATACTCGATCTTTTATTGAAGTTTATACAAGGGAGATTGGTTGTTTTGCTGCTTCAATTGATTCTGCAGTGACGAAGAGCCAGGCTATGTGGCAAGCACCCGAAGAAGGAATGGTTAAGTTTAATTTTGACTCTGCTTACCATGCACAGTCCATGGAGGTTGTTTCAGGTGTGATAGGTCGGGACTCAACCTGTTGCGTTTTGGTTTCTTGTACTGTTCCTTACACATTTGTCAAGGATGCTTTTGTAGCTGAGACGCTTTCGTGTTTTCAGGTTGACACATTTGCGTTGGAGTTGGGGTTTAGAAGAGTTATCTTTGAAGGTGATTCCCTGACTGTTATTAAGAAGTTACGTTGTCCGGTCGTAGATGGCTCGTTCATCACTCCAATCATTTGTGACATAAACGAGATATCTAAAGCGTTTGAGTTTGTTTCATTCTCTTTTGTTGGATGCACTGGAAATAATGTTGCTCACGTCCTTGCTCGTGAGGGTTGGATACACAATGAACAGAGATTCTAGGTTGAGAAAGCTCCCCCGGGTGCGACTGTCGCTGCTAAAGAAGATAGGGAGCATTTGAACCTCTCTTAACTTTGTCTCTCTCTAATAGATTTTACTTGCAGTCTGCTGCACTCCGAGTTTTCTAGTTTTGATAGTTGGTTTGTTTTCTTTTGTGTTTGGGTGTTCTTTGTTTGAGTTTGTCTTTGATGTTGTGGTTTCCCTCTATTATTATTGATGCAACCAGCTATTTCAAAAAAAAAAAAAAAACAACCATGTACCTTCTTCAATGCAGCAGCCTAATCTGTGCACTTTGCAACACCACCATCACAACAAAACCCACAGTAACTAAGCATCTCACTGTCTTCAACTTAGAGGAAATGAAAATGGGGAAGTACTGCTTCCTGGCCTTTATCCTCTTCCGGATAATTCCAACACAAGCAGCATCAGCCATGACCGTGGGTGGTGGTGTCGGCATTATTATCGGCAATGCCGGTGGCGCTGCTGGCGGTGTTTGAATTGGCGGAGGAATCAACAGAAACAGCAACAACAACAACTCAACTCCACAACCATGGAAATCTGCCATCACGGATGATCCATTGGGGATTTTGAAGACTTGGGTTGGCTACGATGTGTGTGCTTATAAAGGGGTCGTTTGTGCTGGTTCATTTGTTGCGGGCATAGATCTTAACAATGCAAATCTACAAGGCACGCTGGTGAAAGAACTGTCTTTGCTGACTGATATCTCCATCCTCCACCTCAACAGCAACCGGTTATCGGGCACAGTCCCCGAGACTTTTAAAGACATTACATCACTTCAAGAGTTGGACCTCAGCAACAACCATTTCTCGGGTCCTTTCCCCACGGTGGTTTTTATACATTCCCAATCTTGTTTATTTAAACCTCAGGTTCAACAGCTTCTATGGAGCCATCCCTGATGGTCTATTTAACAAAAGGTTCGATGCCATCTTCCTCAACAACAACCGGTTTGAAGGTGAGCTCCCACAAAATCTTGGGAATTCACCGGCTTCTGTTATAAACCTGGCCAACAACAAGTTCAGTGGAAACATCCCTGTGAGTTTCGGGAACGTGGTGGTTAATGTAAGCTCAACATCTCCATGATCTCATTATTGTGGAAATTACTGGTTGTCAATTTTCCCACTCATCAATGGCAATTTTCAACTTAGAGCTTCTAAATTCATTTCATGTTTACCCTTCTTTAAAATATGATATCTATCCTAAACCAGAGACTACACACTCCCAACACGAACAAAAACCTTAAGATCTATCGAACTCATTATCACTCGATTCGACATTGATCTAATCTAATGTTTGTCTGATTAGAAAACCAGACCAATCAATCCCTACAACTTCAGTTCAGGATCGAAAAATTCCATAGATCTCTGAAGTCAAGTGAAAGCAAAAAATAAATACTGGATAAACTAGTTATTAAATTCGAACATCAGGATCTGGAGTAACAACAATAGGTTGCAGGCAATTGCCCTTCTTTTTTAATGTTTTCTAGCGTATGTAATACATTGGATTAGGCAGTTTAAAGGAACGTTTTTCCACTGCAAAACCCAGCAAGTCACTCCATTGATCTCCAGAGCTTCCATGAATCTTATAACCTCCATTTGACATAACTGATCTCCTCTCTGATTTGTATACGGTCGCTGGTATCCCTCTATCTGAAGCTCCTCTGTACCATGACCCATTATAATGATCTTAGAAAGTATGATCATTAAAATCAGAATCGGGGAAATGCTTGCTTGGAAGTTTAACATACCTCAAGATAAGCCCTTCCCAGCCGGTATGCCCGGCAAGCTCAAGATTCTTGCTGGTGTCCTGCCTCTGATGTTCACTCCGTCCGGTAAGCACAAATATTTTTGAGCCCCATCTGCTTCAACGCGTTGTACAATTTCAAACTCGATGGCATGGCTGGGGCCTTGGCTAATGCGACCCATTGATCCCAACAGCTCTCGTTGAAAACTTCTGATCTACATTCATCACAAGATAGACTCAGGCTTCAATGAATTAAAGCCACAAGCATATAAAATTTACGACAAAGTAAACAGATTAGATAATTCATTTCCATTCGAGATACGCATATAAACATGATCCGCCCTAGGCATTGCCGTATAAACAGATTAGACTTTACACCGCGAGATTTGAGTTTTTCAATGCCATTAACGCGACCAAAAAGCAAAGGAAGTGCATCCATTTCGAACCTTATCTGGCACATGGGATTTAAGAACAACATCGAGGAGATGGTCAATGACTCAATGTACGTACCCGAACCCATGATCTATATAGTAGGGCATATTGGTCACAAAGTCTCGTCGATATCGAAGATCCAGGCAACTTTCCCGTCGAAAGCCATCTCGACGGTGGAAGCAGAGGCGATGGAGAAATTTACGACGACCTCGCAGTCGGATTCGTAGCGTTTACCAGTCATGTAATATTTGACGTAGGAATGGCAGCGGGAGGGTATCTGGGTCCAACCGCCGGCGTTATTGGTCTCGGCGGCTAGATATATATTTAGTGTTCGTAATAATTTGGATTGGGTCATAACATATATAAAATTAGTTTTTATATTTTTTATAAATTAAAATTTAAAAATTCAAACTACATAGAAATATATACATACACATAAGTAAATATATTATAAAATAAACCTACATAACAGTTACGTACATATATAATTAATTCGATTTATTTAGTTTCGGTGATTAATTTAACTTAGTTATCCTTTTTTTATATCCAAACTTGAATATGATTAATTGTGTGTATATATTTAATTATTTTGATTTTAATATAAAAACTAAGGTATAATTCTAAAATTAGCCTCCAACCTTTGTATGTATGATTATTTTAGTTCATGTTCTTTTTTTGAACACTTAAGCCCTTAATGTTTGGAAAGAAAAAAACTCTTCTCAAGTATAAACCTAATTAATTTTATGTTCGTTCGATTGTGTTCGTTTGTGTTCATTTACGTTCATTCGTTTGTGTTCGTTTATCATTTTAACGAACGAACACGAACAAGCTACATTCCTTAATGAACGAACACGAACGCATAATTTTGTTCGTTTAGTTGTACATGTTCGTTCGTTTGTTCGGTTACAGTTAAACGAACAATCATGAACATACCCTCATTCGTATTCGTTCAGTTCGTTTACAGGCCTAGTTTCGTATGAAAAATAGGTGAAGCTAGACAAACTATCATAGAGTTGTTTATAATTCAGTCAAAACCAAATTAACCGATCGAACCAAATTTTTTTTGATTAATCGATTAGCTAATTTTGGATTCAATCGATTAACAGAAAATGATTTTTTTTTAAACTTTGGGTATCAATTAATTCGATTCGAAATCAATTACTTAACCGAATTAACCAAAATTATATAATACTTTGACGGTTAGTGTTTTAGAATCCCCAAGACATGGGACTCCAATGCATGCTGAAATGAAGGTGGAAGATGAATGACAGGCATGAAAAGAAGCAAAACGCATGGCTCACAACTCCTCAAAAACTTGTTCAAATCCTTCACCCCTTTACTTATTTGTCGTCTTCCCAAACTCTTCAATCCCATCGCCTCCCCACTTCCATTTCACAGCCATCAAAAACAAAATCAAAACAGAGGGGGGAACAACCCATTCAACAAAACAAACCAGCAAGACAAAAAAATGTCCTGGCAAACTTACGTAGACGAGCTTTTGATGTGCGACATCGAAGGCCAAAACCAGCGCCTCACCGCCGCCGCTATCATCGGCCATGATGGCAATGTTTGGGCTAAGAGCGAAATATTCCCTGAAGTACTCATCGTTTTTCATGCTAACCCTAATTTTTTCCCTGTCTCGTCTGACGTGATTTTCGTTTTTTTTTATTACTTACAGTTGAAGCGCAATGAGATCACTGACATCATGAAAGATTTCGACTCACCGGGCCACCTCGCCCCGACAGGCCTACACCTCGGTGGCGTCAAGTATATGGTCATCCAAGGCGAGCCCGGTGCTGTCATTCGTGGCAAAAAGGTAATGCTCACTTTGCATCTACTAAATTTTATAATATAACTTTTTAAGTTCGTATCTCCGACATAAAATCGTATATTACGACTTGCATTTGGTGAGGTGCAGGGGTCGGGAGGGATCACGGTCAAGAAAACGGCTGCGGCACTCATATTCGGGATCTATGACGAACCGATGACTCCGGGGCAGTGCAACCTTGTTGTGGAGAGGTTGGAAGATTATTTTGCTGATCAGGGCCTGTGGTCGACCTACCAAATCGAACCCAATTTTGCATCTTTTTCCATTAAAAAAAAAGCTATTTCGTTTGATTTTTTTTTTGATAAGTAATTTATATTTCATCCAAGAAAGCAGCCTAGCTACTACAGTAAACAAAGAACCTCAATACAGACCCCAGTTCAAGTATAAATGGCTATTAACATCCTCAATCCTAGGACATCCAAATCTACACAACTTGGCTCTAACAACCTCTTTTATGCTATTTACGACTATATCAACCGAGCGAGTCAAGCCTCGAAAGAGTCTATGATTACGCTCCTCCCAGACAAAATACAGCAGACCAGTCCAAGCCAACTTCATGATACGGACTTTGATGGATTTGCCCTTCAATTTTACAATCAACCAGTTGAAAATGTCACCCCAACTGTTAAGGTCATAACGAATATCATAAGCAATTAAAACAATTCCCCACACTTCTTTTGCAAAAGGGCATTCAGCAAAAAGATGATCTCGAGATTCAATACCAGAGCCACACAAACCACATACATTGTCAATATCCAAACCAAACCGAACAAGCCTGTCTTTAGTAGGCAATCTGTCGAGAATGACCATCCACGAGACAAGGGAGAATTTTGGAATGTGAGCAGGGAACCAGATCAGTCTATGCCAGTTTACCTTTGCCTTGCAATCCCGGATATTGTCCCAGATCCATTTGTCATTAATAAGACTCCAGTTGGGACAAGGGAGGAATAAACGTCTAGCCTCCTCACGCATACTCAAAAGCTTGCTCAGGATCCAACTGAAGTGAGCTTTACACTCAACATCCCAAAAGCTAACTAACTTGAAACAATATTCATTGATCCAGGCAATCCACAGAGAGCCTTCATTAGCCAAAATGTTCTTTATAAGGAGCAAACAACAAGCTTTATTCCACATCACAAGGCTTCGAAGACCCAAACCACCCTCAGACTTCAAGGAGCAAATATGACTCCAACCCACACGAGCCCCTTTAGCAGAAGAATCGCTGCCTTTCTAGAAAAAACGCATACAGAGGCATTCAATATCCCTAATAACACCCTTGGGCAGAACCAATTGCCTACTCCAATAGTTAAAAATGCTGAATAAAACAGATTTAATCAATTGGAGCCTACCACCATAACTCAGGTTCTTGTTAGACCAAATCCTGAGCTTGTCCTTTATCTTGGTCAGAAGTGCTTCACAGTCTTTGCCAATGAGCTTGCGAGTCACCAGGGGAACACCAAGATACCTCACAGGAAGTTGTCCCACCCTGAACCCAATAGCCATTCTGATCTGTTCCAAGTCAAACATGTTCACACCACAAGCATATAATTCTGTCTTTTGGGCGTTCAGTTTAAGACCCGAAAGCTCATAGAACTTATCTAAAGTGCATTGCACTCCCAACACAGCGCCCAAAGAGCCATGACAAAAAACAAGCAGATCATCCGTAAAGCAGAGATGAGTGAGAGATATTCTTCTGCATTTAGGGTGGAACTTAAAAATACCATGCTTAGCAGCAGCATCTAAGAGAGAGGACAAAACATTCATGGCTAAAACAAATAGGTAAGGAGATAAAGGATTTCCTTGCCTAATCCCCCTACCTCCTTTAAAAAACCCCACCAAGCTACCATTTAAAGAAAGAGAGAACATAGGTGTAGTAATACAGGCCTTAATCCAATTACAGAAAGTACAAGGGAGACCCATAGCAGCAAGAACCTTCAACAAGAAATCCCAACTAACAGAGTCAAAAGCCTTCTGTAAATCAACTTTGATTGCACATCTAGGAGAAAGGCTCTTTCTAGAATAGCCTTTAACAATTTCCTGAGCTAGCAAGGTGTTGTCAACAATGTTCCTGCCTTTAACAAAGGCTGACTGACTAAGTGATATCATACTAGGAAAGAATGACTAGAATTCTTGTAATAGTTTTGTAAACTACTGAACAACAAGAAATAGGCCTGAATTCTTTAGCAAGACATGCATTAAGGGATTTAGGAACCAAAACAATGGCAGTGGGATTGAATGCAGGCAACAAACAGGAGGTCTGGAAAAAATACCTCACAGCAGAAGTGAAATCAGCACCTAAAATGTCCCAGGCAGCCTTGAAAAACCCAGAGGTGTACCCATCAGGACCCGGGCTCTTGTCCTTACCTTGCTTAAACAAGGCCTCCTTAACCTCCATAACAGTCACTTTTCAAATTAAACAATCAGCAGCTTCTTCTGGCAGGGAGTAGTTTAACAGGCCTTTCAGATCTTCAATAGAACTGCTCTTGACAAGAGGGTCCTCAACTCCAATTAGACTAGTGAAAAAAACTTACTAGTTCAGCAGCCATGCCCTCAAAAGTGTCATAAAATTGACCATCTTCACCTTTAATTACTCTAATGGTATTTCTTTTCTTATTGGATTCGACCCTCTGATGGAAGAATTTAGTATTGAGATCTCCCTCATTCAACCAATGCATCTTAGTTCTCTGTCTATAGAACTCAGACTCAGCTACTTCCAAGTTAATAAGCTCATCATAGACTCTTTTCTCCTCATCAACTCTTCTCTGCTCAACATGAGTCAAATTAAAAAGCTGAATTTGCTCCAACTCAGATCTTTTACCCTCCACTCTACCAGAGATGTTAGAATAAAACTCCTTATTGAGCTCTTTTAAGAGAGGCTTAAGCCTTCTCATTTTACTAAACAGAACTTGCATGGCAGAACCTGCACAGTGCACTTGCCAAGAGTCTTTAACTATAGTCAGGAATCCGTCATGTGAAGACCAACAATTAAAGAACTTAAACGGTTTAGGTTTCTTAATCAAAACACCCTTTTGAGACCATAAAATCCCAAGGCAGTGGTCAGAGACCCCCTGAGCTTTGAATTCCACAAAAGAATTAGGGTAATCCAACAACCACTGAGAGTTAACCAAAATCCTATCTAGCTTCCGAGCTAAAAAAAGAACCCTCATGTCTATTTGACCAAATGAAGATAGGCCCAAGGAAAGGATGGTCCATCAGATCAAGCTCCTCCAAGCAGTCCTGAAACTCATTCATGTCAGTAGAACTATGAACTCCCATAACATCGAAGTCTGAACTTTCCTCAGCTCTGGCAATTATGTTGAAGTCCCCACCAATCACCCAAGAAGAGGATCCAATAGCATTCTCGACAGTCTTCAAATGCTCCCAAAGACCTCTTCTAGTACCACCACTGTTGCTATCATAAACATCAGTAATAACAGTTTGAAAACCATCAATAGTGCCAATAATAGAGATGGCCTGATCGCATCTTCTCAACACAGAAAAAGACAGCTGCCTCTTCCAAATAATCCATAATCTGCCCCCATCAACACAATCATAATTTTCAACTAAATTCCAATCAGCAGAAAAAACAGTGGAAAATTTGGCAGAATTATCCCTTCTAATCCTAGACTCCATAAGACAAATAACATCCACTTCACAAGAATCCAGCCTCTTAAGCACTTTTGCCTGCTTTAGGGGGTTATTAATCCCCCTAACATTCCAAAAGCTCACTATCATTGTCAAGAGGAGGAAGGAACATCACAGCCAGGACCCAAAGACACCACATTACTCTTAAATCTTTAATTAAAATCTTTAATCTGAATTATTATAGTTAATATCTTATCATTAACCATAGCATAAATCTTAAATCGATATCAAATTATTTAGTATTTTTATAAATTTATTTTTAGATATATTTTTTCTATAAATTTAGAATATAAGAATCGGGACTAAAATTATTATTATTATGTCAGACCACATTACTATTTCGTCTGATATTTAATGACTAGTAACTTGTTTGCAATTATAGTTTAATTAAAGGACTATATTGTATCTTTTAAAAACGAAAAGCATTTTTTTGTAATGGAATTAATAACTGAGTGGCCTGAGATAAAACCCACCCAAAAAGTTGTTGTGGCCCAAACAGGAAAGAAAATTTAAGGGAAAAAAGAAAGAAAAAGAAAGAAATAAAGCAGATCTCGTTGTTCCAACGCTATATCTCAGTTCCTTGTTTTATTTTTCGAAACTCTCAAAGCTTCGGAAGGAGGAAGAAGAAGATGTCGTGGCAAGTTTATGTTGATGATCACTTACTCTGTGACATGGAAGGCAACCATCTCACTGCCGCTGCTATCATCGGCCAAGACGGCAACGTTTGGGCACAGAGCTCCAATTTCCCTCAGGCTATTCTTCTCCTCTAATTTTACCCCTTTTTTGTGTTGGGTTTGGTTTCTCGAAGAAAAGATTGATTCTTTGAGTGACAGGATCTGATTGCTATGATTGAATTCTCATTGTTTGATTTATTAGCTGATCTGATTTGCTCCGAAAGGACTGTTATTTGTTTCTCTTTAGTGAAACGATTTTTTTTTTAATTTTTCGTTGTCTAAGTTTTTTTTCTATGATTTATTAGTTTGTTGTATGATGTATCGAAATATTTTATTTTTCACGCATGGAAAACCTGTATGAGTTCTGGGTTTGTTTCTGTGTGTTTAGATTTCTTTGTTTTATAAGCATTATGCACCGTTTAAATAAATTGAAATCTACTTTGCTAATAGATCTCTTCAGCTGACCATGATTTAGAGTATGGAACATTTGAATATGCAAATCCTGTTCGTTTTTCCCGACTGACCTGTGCTTAATGCTTCTCGGTTTTGTTATTTCAGTTGAAGACAGAAGAAATCATGGTATCATGAAGGACTTCGATGAGCCTGGATCACTTGCCCTACTGGATTGTACCTTGGTGGCACTAATACATGGTGATCCAAGGTGAACCAGGAGCCGTTATTCGGGGGAAGAAGGTGATGATCTCCGGCGGTTCTTAATTTCGCTGTATTCATGACACTAACAAATCATGAGCAGATGAATTCTTTTAGATTATGATCAATGCAAATAGATAGATTTGTCATTTATGCATTTAGATCCGAGTGTAGTTTCTTGTTCAACCTTCGATAAAATTAGTTGAATTGATGCTGTGCTCTCGTATCTATTTGGTAGCATCTGGTTTCTGCTGTTGCTTGTATGCCGCTCATGTCTTGTGCCTCCATGCATTTGAGATTGCCTAGGGAGTGTATTTGAGCAACCAGTCAACCGCCTAAATTTCTAGCCGCTATCTTGTCAATGCTTGTATTCTGAACATTGTCAATTTAATTTCAGGGACCTGGAGGTGTTACCGTTAAAAAGACCAATCTGGCCTTAATCATCGGAATCTACGATGAACCAATGACACCCGGGCAGTGCAACATGGTTGTCGAAAGGCTCGGTGATTATCTGATTGAGCAGGGTCTTTGATCTCTTTGGTGTGCCCTCTTCTTGAATTTTATGTAGAGTTGACCTGGCTACCTCGTGTTGTAATGGTCGAGTGCAGATAGTATTATTCTAGTATTTAAGGGAACTCTTTTCCAGATACAGAATGGTTGGTGTTTGTAAGTCATGCTTATGATCTCGTGCTCTGTTTACGTACTCGTTTCGCAGATGGTGTTATCAAAGATTGTCCGTGTTTTATATCAGCTTTTTCTAATGGATTTGGTAAATTATTTGACCAACTTGTTCATGTAATCTTCTGTTTGTGCCTGCTAAATGCTTAAAAAGCCAAATGCCAAGCTAAACAATACCAAAACCCGGGACATTGATGCGGGAATCACACAACATTCCAGTTCAAGCAGCGGCAATGGACAAAATATACATTCTCATTTTACAGTGTATCTTCATATACCATTCAAAAAGGCAGCTGCTTCCTCCCACCCCAATTCCATGTCAGACTCCTCAACTCATATTGTCCGGATCTAGAATGAACGAGATTAATATCATTAGAAAGAAACTAGCAACCCATGTGCACACTTCAGTCCGTCTGGACGACGAAGAAGATCTTGCAATGGCAGTCGTTGCGGTTTTGTTGACCCTGCATGATAGATAATCACAAAGTTCAGTACATTCAATGATCAGATCCGAGGACGACGTCGGTGCATACTGGAATATAACATAGAGTTGGGTAAAATGAAGGATGACAAAGAAAACGTGTTTACCCTCGTGTAGTAACATAAATGCAATTATCATAGCCTGCACCAATAATTAAACAAGTTAGATTCTTTTGCACGAAGCATCCGAGTTCGGGCACATTGAAGCAATTTATGGCGTCGTCCAAAAACATTCACCTCAACTAAAGGTAATGAATATGCATGTGTAATCTAGGAATCAGATTCAGCCTAAAGTAATCGACTTACGAGGATTCTTGTCAACTTTGACCCCATTTCCCCCAAAACTGCAAGCAACATCAGTGGCGCCATTTTGCTGGTAATAGTTGTTGAATGTGAAGGAGGCATGAGAAAGTGTATTATCAGGCTCGAAACACGGCTGGCTAGGCTGAATGGGAGAGCAATCCACATCCAGGACCACAAGCCCAATCTAGGGGATTCTGTAAATCTTCTTCAGAAGCTTGCTAGAAGCAATGCACCATGTGTTACATTCGATTTGGTGCCACTGTGTTGTTTGTCATATCAACTGCGCCTTTCCAGTGAAGTCGAGGTTATAGACACTAGTCTGGTCGGGATAAAATGAGCCCCAGTTTCTCCGATTCAAGTCCAGGCTTCCGGTTCTCATTAAACAACGAGAAAACATAAACGTCTAGTTCTTCGCCGGGCTTGGCAGGAGTGTCGGAGCCGTTGATAACATGACGGATTAGATTGTCATTATAAGTCTGGGCATTGTCGGTAGTAGCAGCTTTCTCTTTCGGCAAACCTTTGGAAGGCCATCCAGTTTCAGTGACCATAACCCAGATTGTTCTGAAATTTAAGGCCATCAGAGCAAAATAAAGGGCATCTATCTGGGCATTAAACATGTTAGTGTAAAGTAGACCAGTGTTCGGATCTATCACTTCCGAGGATGACTCAAACAAATCATAATCCAAAGAATTGTTTGGAGAATCTCTATAAGCAAATAAGGATATAAATCGATCATAAATGGTGACTGATTATCAGCTAGGAATTCCAACATAGGTTTCAAGAAAAATGCATGGCTGCTGTTAAAAGCACCCGCAGAAGGTGGGAATGATCGGGACAGAACCCCGAGGGAATGAGTGCTCGAAACTTTAATCCTTTTATGCAGACCAACCTTTTTAATGCTTTGAAAACATTTTGCATAGCAGGCACAACTAAGGCAGAGGCGTTATCGGGGCTCTCTGTGACTTCAAGACCTACTGTTAGGTGTGTTACTTTGTGGCCAGGTAGTACAGAAGGATGCTATTTTAACCAGGAATCCGCATTGATTGAAACTGGGAGAATGCTAACAAGTCCGAATTCGGAACTCCCACCATAAGCTCGACGCCCGTGTTGGCAAAGGCCTTGAGCACTTGGATATTGGAATCATAAATCCTAAGGTATTTGATTTTGTGAAGTTGCACCAATTCGCAACTTTATCAGGTGTCGGAAGATCATCGGCATTCCTTCCGTAGCAAACGCCAACAAAGCTTCCTTTGCAGCAATCTGCCATGGAAATCGGCATCAGAAATGTCCTAAACTACCAGAACCGGTAAATTCTCTTGCAAAACACAAACATAATTACCATTTATTGCCAAGGCAAAAACATAACATAATATGTGGTCAATCTAGGATTGATACAAACCCCAAACCAAACCAAACAATGTAACAAAGCTGTCCTGGTCTTCTAGACATTAAAGCCCCTACTTACTGATAAAATGAACTTGAATGCAAGAACTAACGCATTTTGATGATACATTAAGACGGATCTAAGATGACCCAAAGAGCAAAAAATTAAAACAAAGCTGAGATTTTTACTCTGGGTGCTCAAAATCAGAGATAAAAGACTGAAAAATACAAAATTTGAAGCAAATAATGAATAGATAAATAGCTAAATAGCAAGAAAAAGTAACAATGAAAAGCCCCCCAAAATGAAGCACTGTTATTCACTGTGTTGCAGAAGAAGCATACCCAGAAGTAGAAGCAAGAAAGAAACAACAAATGCAAGCTTGAATCTGGAAGACATTGTCCATTGAAAGAAATGAGCTTTTGTCATGTAAAACTTCCAGCGTTCTTCAGCAAGTAAAAGTCTTTTAATTCTCTCTGTCTTTGTTTCCTTCTTCCTGGAGAGTCTAGACAGTGAGTGAGCACTTAAGCTTGGATGGCTGTCGTGTGTGGTGTCAGTGACGGACCGGACTTAACCATCAATTGTGTGAATTTCACTTCAGAGAAAGCAAGTCGATTCCCGTTCTTTGTCCTTGGAGCATGTTTGTTTGTTCTCTTGTCTCTTATTTTACCATGTTGGGCCATCACCATCAATGTTACGGATTCCTTAACGAAGATTGAAACAAGTCCGAGTTTTTGTTACCAGAGCCCAGTCTAAAAGTTATAAACTTTAAAACCAGAAAGTGTCCGATATTAAGCCCGAGATGGCCCGAATAAGTAATTTAAAATGATCGGACCTCAAATTAAGTATAATTTATAATTCTACATTATTATTATTATTATTATTATTATTATTATTATTATTAATTATTGGTATATATTATGCATGAACAAATTTATCTCAGTAGTTAAAAAAATCGTCGTTGTTCCTAAAGGTCACGGGTTTGAGCACCAGTGTCTTCAGCAAGATGATTGAGTGTCCATTGTTGAATGATTGAGAGTATTTAGAATAAATACTACTATGTAAATATCTTAGCTTAATCAAAAAAAATATTATTGGTTTCTATTATCTAACCTTTTGACTGATTAATTTGAAAATTAAAAGTTTAGGTATCAAAACAAATCAAAATTAATATTTTAGGTACTAAAGATGAATTTACCCTATTTTTTACCATAAATCATTCAATTCGTCTCCATTGGTTAAATCAATTTATTTTTCCTCACTCCTCCGTATTGAGTTTTTTTTTATTAAATTTAAAAAAAAAACGGATATTAGAATTCACAATCAATAATTTAGGATTTATAGTATTAAATATAAACACGTGTATATATATATGATGATTCAATGTTTATAAAATTTATATACATATGATACAATTATAAATATTATATATTATTTAATTTTTACTCATATTACAATGAGATAAGTAATTTCATGTAAAATAGTTATTTACTCGTTAAATCGTAATAATTCATATATAAAAAATTATTTGGGGGAAGTACTCCTTGCGTAAAAATCTTGCATATAAACAGAATGTAAGACCCGAGTAAATTTAAAAAGAGAAACCTGAAGAGAATGATACACAGAAGTCAACGATAGCAAGCTACGAGAATAAAGTCAAATGGGTTAAACCTAAACTAAGGCAACAATATTCTGTTACCTATTTCTAGGCCTACATAAATTCTAATAACAGAAACATAATAAGTAGAAGTCATGGAAATTATTACAAATACATTAAAAGGAAGACATAGATGTTACAACTTATGCCTATGATTCTACTACTCGGCTACCCTGGTCTTAAGTCTCCATACTTTCCTATCAGAAGTCATGTCCTCGGTAAGGGCTAAATTCTTCAAATCAATCTCAAAGCAGTCTTCCCACTTCCGCCTTGGTAGTCCTCTCCTTCTGGCACCGTCGACTGTAATCGACTCTACCCTCCTGATTGCATCCGACGATTGTCGCATAAGGACATGCCCAAACCACCGTAGTCTTCCCTCCCTCAATTTTTTCGGATACAGGCACCACTCCCAAGGACATCCTAAGCAGAGTTTGGTGTCATGTCTCACAGAGTCCTACCACATGCCCATCGAAGCTATCATTTATGCGGAATACTCTTTTTAACACGTATAATAACTTATCCGTTGTTGAAATATTCAACATCATATTTTAACAAACATAGTAAAATTAAATTAAAATAGAAAACAAAATCAAAATTTAGATATTAAATTAAAATTATTATGTGTTTAGTCCGATTTAATATTTGAACTTTTAATTTTTTAAACCTTATCTAACATTTAGTTTTTATTTTGTTTTTAGTATCTTGCCATTAAAATTTAACGTACTACTCATTATTATGGGTAAATTACATTATTCTCACTTACTACTCCCCACTCCTAATTTGGTACTAAATTTTAAAAAATCAATTTAACTACTCGACTTTCAAATTACTCCTATTTTAATTACTCTAATTTATTTTTTAATGATTTTTTTGACATGATATTTTTTTATTATTTATTAATATATAGTTTAAAATTAAAAAGTAAATCTGAAAGTTAAGAGTAATTAAATTAAGAATAATTTAAAAATTAAAAAATATAAAAAATATAAAATTTTAGTGACTAAAATATGATGATAAATGATGTAATTTACTCATAAAAAAGGTGTCACGTGCAAATCACCCCGAAGTTTTTTTTAACAGTAATGTACTAAACAAAAAACTAAATATTACTTACGGTTTTAAAAAATTAAAAGTTTAAATATTAAAAAGAACAAAACTAATATTTTAGGTATTAAGGCATAGTTTACCCTTAAATTAAGAAGGACATTTGCATACCAACAGAAAAGAAGGAACCGAATTCAAGTAGGAGAATGTTAATTAAGGCTCAATTTATTTATTATTTATTTCTCAGTGTTGCACATCTCTAGAATCCAACATTTGATCCTCAATTTATTTATTTATTTTATTAGATTAATTGTTTACTAAATATTCTTTCAAGACGGCCCATTTGCATAGGCATTTGAGATTCAATGACAATCGGAAGCAATAAATAATTAATCTAATAAATAAAGATTAATTCTCTTAAATAAAACTAAAGATTTAAATTTTAATATTAAATGAAGTAAATTAAATTAAAAATAATTTAAGATATTTTAAGGCATCTAAAAATGTATCGAAGAAATCACAAGGCCCTATTTTTAACAAACAATTCCTTTAAAAAAAACCTAACAATTCTTTAGACTCAAATATCAATTTAAGATATAATTTAGACACCTAAAAATATATTAATCCATTTTTAAATGAATCCATTTCACTAAAAACAATTTAGTTCATTTATCATTTTAAAGATTCTAATTAATTTACAGTTTGATTCAAGTAGTAGCAACTTGATATCGCTTAAACAATGTCTCACGTTCAAATCATTGTGTATGCAGAAAATCTTCGATGTGAGACTCACTTACCAAAGTCAGATGTGCGATCGAGGTCAATCCAGTTAAGATTAATAGGAAGAAGCTTTGAAAAATAAAGAAAAAAATATTTTGATTTTTTTTTTAATGTGTTTACATTTTAATGAAATTGATATGTGATGCCATCAATTCTAATGAGACCCACCTTCGAGAGCAATTGGCATCCACGTTTTCTTAGAATACACCCAATTCCATTTGCCTTTCTCGACCAAATGGAATCATGTGTTCCTTAAATTGAAGACAGCTGTTGAGAAAAGGATAGATTGGAATTTTGATGTTTTCCGATTTAATTAGAATAAGAATAAATTATTTCAATCAATTATGTTGGTCTCAGAATTTTCGTAACCTTTTTATTATTTAATTTTTTATATAAACAATAATTAAAATATTGATTTGTAAATAAAATTTATGACATTTCAGACGTCTAATCGCCATCTGGCCATTACAAAAAGATTATTAGCCATTTTATGCCCGGTATAAAATTACACTTGATCGGACACAAATTTATATATTTATTCATTTTATTATGTAAAATATGGATTTTGAAAAATATAAAGATTAATTATTATTATAATTATCTCTAAATATATAATAGATAATCACATTATTATCTTGAGTCCGACCGAGTCAAAAAAATCTTCATCTTAAACCTCATCCTCTAAAAATTACTAATCAAACATGAATTTTTATTTGAAAAGGCAAAAGGTAGCTTTGCTCATGTAGGACTAAATTTATCACTTTCACCCTATCGTATTTTCGCATCGATTTAACTTTTGAAATTGCATCATCCTATATCCTACCCTAACTTAAATCCTAAATTATAACCATAAATCATAACCCTATTATCTCTAAACTCTAAACCTTAATTTAAGTTTTATAATTTAGGGGTTTAGTTAATGAAATAATATAGAATGATGCAATTAACAACTTTAAGAGCTAAATTAATGCAAAAACACGACGTGACGAAAATGATAATTGAGTCTATTACAGAGTAATCTTTAAAAAATTCGATCCTATAAGTAGGGTTAAATTTTGATCATATTCATCCCTAATATTTATGACAAAATACATGATAGATAGTAAGAGATGCACAAAAAATCTTAAACACGCCACAATTAGTATAAAACCTTCTCTAAATTATAAATTATAAATTATTTTTTTTATCAAACTAATTATATTGTGTACTTTTACAATGTGATTGCTGATGGGGTTGGGACATGTAAAAATATTGTAATGGCTTATGTGGCAAAGTTACTAAAGATACAAACCTAATTTTAAAAAAAGAGACTGAGTAGGATATGGATGCCTTCAAATTTAGATCTTATCCATTGTCCTAGTTCAATGTGAAAAGGAATATTAAATCTACACCATTAGAAACAGATGATAATGACAAATCTTGGAATAATGGAATACAAGAACCGAATTCATTTAATAAAATAATTAATTAAACTGCTCAACCTTATCCTATGCTTATATGCCACCTCATATTATCTCCAAAACCAATAGCATTACACATATATATAGGGTTCTCAGAACTCAGATCTTGCTTTTGTTATTTTTCCTGCTACGAATCAGATGGATATCAATGAAGCTTGGGGCAGAAACTTGATGATCATGGAAGGAGATGATGACTCATCGTCACATGGTGAAAACTCATCAGAGAACTCCAATTCTTCAACCTCTTCGTCAGACTTGGTTGATGATGCATCATCATGCAATGGACCTCTTTATGAATTATCAGACCTCATGGCTCAACTACCTATCAGGTAAGCACCACCAACAGCATGCATCTTTTTCAATAAAAATCTTAAAGAGAGAAGCGTGGTTCTGATCAAATTTTTGCACAAATCTGCAGGAGAGGGCTTTCAAAGCATTACCAAGGGAAGTCTCAGTCATTCACATCATTAGCCAGGGTGATGAGCATAGATGATCTCCCAAAGAAAGTGTTGAACAATAGGCAAGATGAAATCATGCAAGAGCTACGGATGGGGACTTGATGGTCAAAGAAACAAGTCGTTTAGCCCCAAGGCTGCCATTTCAAAGAAGGGTTTGTTCCAACAGAGGCCGTTTCATGTCTTCTCTGGGTAATAGAATTAGTAGTGATTAGCGAAAATGAAGGGTTGAGGTAATATTGTTCATGCCTAGGATGATTAGGTTGGTTCTAAAATGCTGCAGGCAAGGTGGGTTTTTGAATGTATAGCTGTTTTTTTCCATTTTCATGGAAGGAAACATTGATCACCTCACCATTTTTGTGGATTCAAAGGTTTATAAAGATTACTTATATGAATTGTAACCCTTAATAAGGGGTTTTAACTTTAAGATTGCAAAAATGAAATTTCTTTGAAACAGGATAATGTATGGTGTGGAAGTGGGTGTCATCTTAACATTATCAACCGACTTAAGTTTGAAAGGAGCTTAAACCTAAGTACATGTCTGTTTGTTTACTTCAGAATGATTAAGTGTTGAATGATTTAGAGACTCTGTATGAATTAACTCTGAATGTGATATGTTGTTTGATAATGATTCTGAATCATTTAATATTTTTACTGAATCAATCAGTACTGAATTATTTATATACGAAATAAACACGTTGAATATTAAATAATTCAATATTCAACGTTAAATGATTTCATTCAGAGTCAAACAACAACTCTAAGTAGAGTTTTTAGATATAAAGTATTGGAGTTTAATGCACAGTCTAAGGCATTAATTTATAGTAATATTTGTTTATGGATTGTTTTTATTCTAAAGCGATTTTACAGTCGTGTGGCTTGGAGAGAGAGCCAACTGATATAACGATTAGTGGCTAGCCTAATTACCCATTCATTATAAATAATATTTTAAATTCGAATCAATTTGTCTAGAAATTAAGATTAAGTTAGTAATATTTTTGTTTAATATTAATAAAAAAATCATTAATTTTAAACAATAAAATAAATCGAAATTCTGGCTTGGACCGGTCCAACACTTCCACGGACAAGATCAAAAGCAATCAATGCCACTGCCATTTTTGCTTGGGGTTAACGCGAAGCCTAATATGCTTGGTGACAAAATTGGGCCGTCATTAACAAGCCTCCATCTTTAGGGTTTTTTTATGGTTTCCAGTTTTTTTATCTACCTCGTTAAGGCAACCGAATTTTTATTTTGGAGAATACGATAAATTTTACAGTAAATTTAGAACTCGTTACTGAGAAGACGAGTTTCATGCACCGTAGAAAATACCCTATATCCCAAATAAAAGTGTATGTGGCCTATTTTGCAAAAAAAAAAAAAAAATCTGTACTGCCCTATTGGGCCAAGAAAAAAAGCCTCCATCTTCGTGCACAAGTAAAAAGGAAAATTTAATCAACTATGCTTAAAGTATGTGTCATATCTCTTAAAATTATAAAATAAAATATATAAACGTTATTTAAAATGATATGTCACCAACCGATTGATTCAAGTGATAAACAACTTATTATCACTTAAGTAAATCTCGAATTCGAGTCCTTGTGTATGCAGAAAATTCCCGCTGGGAGACTCACCCATCAAAACTAGGTGTACGGCATGGATTGGTTCGGATTAATCTAAGCGAAACCTTGAAAATAGAAGGAAAAAATATAATGTCTTATGTTATTCGAAATGATAACGTGATATAAAATAAATTATTAAAACTAATTTTTTATTTACCTAATCAAAATGACTATAAATTTTAATTTAAAGACTAATACAATCTATCAATAATTAGCTCATTAATTTAGGGGACTATTCGATCAAGTTGAATTGAATAAAAAATTTCTAGTTATTTGAGTTGACGAGACTTATTTGTAACTCGAAGTTAAATTGAAAATTTTTCGAACCGAGTCAAGTTTTGTAAAATTCAAGTTGAGTCAAAATTTTGAGTTTCTATATGAATTTAATTATAAATATTTTCAATATTATGATATTATTTGATTCTAATATAAATGGTATTTATAATCATATACAATATATATATATATATCTATATATATATATATATTATATTATTTTTCCGTATGTGATTTACATATACCATATAAAGTCGAGGGACTCGACTCAAACTTCAAGTCAAACTTGAAAATCAATCTACTAATTAATAAAATTTCGAGTTATTCAAATTTACAACTCAAAGTTAATTCAAGTAAAAATTATTTCAAGTTAAGTCGAGTCGAAAAATTCGATTTTTCGAGTTAAGTATAGTTTTGTTCACCCCTACTCATTATCTAAAGTTCGAACTTTAACCCTATCATTTATTTATAAAAAAATATCATAAATAAAACTGACATTATTAAAATAATAACCCAAAAATTATTATTTTTTTGAAAAAATACCCCATACTTAATTTGTTAGAAAAAAACCCTAAACTGCATGTAAGACTAACTAACGTCTAAGAAATGCAAGGAATAATCTCGCTTTGTACAAGGCGACAGATACATCCTACATTGACACACTTTTAAGAGAATGTTATTTAATATTGATTTTAATTAGAGGTGTTCAAAAATACCAGACCCGATTGACCCGACCCATTAACCGACGACCTAAACTAAAAAACTGGGAAATTATCTAAAAAAATATCAGACCCGACATTTTTCGGGTCGGGTCGGGCCCGATCACAAAATTACATTTTTCTAGGAACCCGGTTACCCGAGTATCCGATTACATTTATTTTTTATATAATAATATTACATATATAATTATTAATAATTTATATATTAAATTAAACTAATAAAATTAAAAAAAAACCACCCATGTAGGTTGTATGTTTAATAATTAATATAATATTTTGTTTAATAATATAGTACGTTTTTAATTAATAATTTGAAAATGATAAAAAAATTGGGTACCCAATTATCGGGTATCTGCAACATCTGTGTCGGGACACGGGCCGACCAATCAACTACCCGAAGACCAGGGCACTCGGATTTGAACACCCCTAGTTTTAATAACCTCGTGTTACGCATAACACAAGGTTCCCGATATATTGACAAATTATCGCATTCGCAAAAGATTTGAAATTTGAATAGATTCTTGAACCTTGCGTTGTATACAACACGAGATATCGTTTACTTTGCTTCGGGGGTGCGAGGACGGATATAAAAGACTCTCCAAAACCGAATTCCTCACACCCTTCTTCTAAAAATCTCTATACCTCTCATATTTTCTCTATTATATTCAATTAAGATTATTATGGTGAGATTACTAAGGCTTGTCGAAAGGATGTATTCGATTATTGATGACAAATCTGGAGGTAATTTTTATTTATTTATTTACTTTGAATTTTTTTATTTATGTTCATTTATTTCGAATAAATTAGTGATTTATTTATTATTTATTCAAATAATTTATTTATTTATTTATTTGAAGGGGTATGAACGTTCGTTGACGTGTTATATCACCCGTTTTCAGAGGCCTCATGTCGATATTCTTACATATTTGCATGAAGTTGGTTTTGGTTGCGTAAGCACTATAATTGGTGGTATGAAGTTGCATCCTTCATTGTTAAATGCATTGCTAGAATGGTGGAGACCGGAGACACACACGTTTATTTCCTTATAGGGAGACGACTATTACCCTCAAAGATGTTGTATTATGTCTTAGGCTGCTTGTTGACGAACGACTATTACCAGCATGGCCCATGGGTATTGGGTCGGCTTGTGTGAACAACTGCTCAGACTTACTCCGATAGATGACGATATGGAGGGAGGAAATATCAGGTTAAAATTTTTTACGATAATATTCGGAGCTATCTGCCAATGCTGCTTCGGTAATTAGTGAGGTAATTTTTTAAATCTATATTTATATATTTTAATTTTTTGTTTATAATATTAAAATTTTATTTTAGTTTATGTTCTTGTAATTTTTTAGGGTAAATTACACAGTTCCTCACTCTACTTCATTATCTCTTCTATTTTGCTCACCGAACTTTTAATTTTTCTAATTTGCTCACTGAACTTTACATATTAAATCATTTTGCTTACCCTGCCGTTAATTTTTTAACGACGTTATAAGTGGAATAGGAATCAAAACAATATTTTGGAAAACTCAAATATACTCTAAAACGACATTGTTTTGGTGAGTAAAATATGAGACATATTAAAGTTTAATGACTCATGGTGTAATTTATCCTTTTTCTTTCTCTTCTCTATTTTCTCTCGTTAGCTACCACGTCATTTTCATTCCGACCACCGTCGACCGTCATATATGGTGGTCGTTTGATCCAAAAATAAGACGGGTCGGTTCGTCTCGACCCCCTAAGTCCGGATATGGTGGTTGTTTCGCCATAAAATGTCCCAAAACCCGTGAATTTGGAGTAAAACATTTTGGTTTCATCACTTTCAATCTCAAATTCAAGGACTTTGGAGAAACTTTTGATAAAGTAAAGGTCGGATTCAAACTCACGACGTCGAGGCGAAGTGACCCATCTTATTTTGGGACAAAACGACCACTATTTACGGCAACAACGGTGGCTGGTGGTGGCATCCGATCTCATTCTATTTTTATTTTATTTTTTAAGTTATTTTATATTAAATAAAAATAAACTGTTATAGAGAAAACGGAGGAGTGAGTAAAAATGATTCAATTTGAAAAGTTTAGTGAGTAAATTATAAAAATTGAAAGTTCGATGAGCAAAATAGGAGAGAGAGTAAAGTAAAGTGATGAACGGTTTAATTTACCCATTTTTATGATAAATTTTTAATTTATTTGCACAAATTTTATTTTGCATCGATTTGCTCGTGTTCATATTTTACAAGTTATTGGGGGAAGAGATCTTGATGTCTAATAAATTTCAAAACAAAGTGCATCTAATTTGATTATATCATCTACGCGTTTTACGGGACTCTAAATATAAAAGTTGAGGATTGACAATGTTGACCTTTTTTGTTCCAAGAGTTATGTAAAGTTGTGGATCCGAATAAACAAGTAATTGGAGGTTGTTTGATGTTATTATAATCGTGGACTTGTTTCGAATGTTGTTTTTACAACCGATTCCTACACAACCGACCCCATTTAAATTTCCCTACTTCAGAGGTAATTAAAAATAAACTACGTTTATATATTTAAATTATTTATTTTTTTGGGTTTTACAAATAATTATTTTTTATATGAATAATATGGACTACACTAACATACCTACCAAGAACTATGCATGATTTTAGATTGTTGATCGATACGATAATCGATTTTAATTTTTTTGTAAATTAAATATCAATTTTTATTCGAGTTTATCTAACTTATTTTAAAAATATTTTTGTAGTTTGTGT